ACAACACAACGAAACCACAACACAACGAAATTAACAGCACAACATGGAAACAAGCCACAACACAACGAAATTAGCACAACATGGAAACAATCTACAACACAACAAAATTAGCACAACACAATGGAAACAAGCCGCAACACAACAAAATTAGCACAACACAACGAAATTAGCACAACATGGAAACAATCTACAACACAACAAAATTAGCACAACACAATGGAAACAAGCCGCAACACAACAAAATTAGCACAACACAACGAAATTAGCACAACATGGAAACAATCTACAACACAACAAAATTAGCACAACACAATGGAAACAAGCCGCAACACAACAAAATTAGCACAACACAACGAAATTAGCACAACATGGAAACAATCTACAACACAACAAAATTAGCACAACACAATGGAAACAAGCCGCAACACAACAAAATTAGCACAACACAACGAAATTAGCACAACATGGAAACAATCTACAACACAACAAAATTAGCACAACACAATGGAAACAAGCCGCAACACAACAAAATTAGCACAACACAACGAAATTAGCACAACATGGAAACAATCTACAACACAACAAAATTAGCACAACACAATGGAAACAAGCCGCAACACAACAAAATTAGCACAACACAACGAAATTAGCACAACATGGAAACAATCTACAACACAACAAAATTAGCACAACACAATGGAAACAAGCCGCAACACAACAAAATTAGCACAACACAACGAAATTAGCACAACATGGAAACAATCTACAACACAACAAAATTAGCACAACACAATGGAAACAAGCCGCAACACAACAAAATTAGCACAACACAACGAAATTAGCACAACATGGAAACAATCTACAACACAACAAAATTAGCACAACACAATGGAAACGAGCTGCAACACAACATAATTAGCACAACACAATGGAAACGAGCCGCAAAACAACGGAAACAAGCTGCAACACAACAAAATTAACAAAACACAATGGAAATAAGCTGCAACACAACGAAATTAGCACAACACAATGGAAATGAGCTGCAACACAACAAAATTAGCACAACACAATGGAAACAAGCCGCAACACAACAAAATTAGCACAACATGGAAACAAAGCCACGACACAATGAAATTACCGCAACACAACAGAAACAAGTCGCAACACAATGAAATTAGCACAACACAACGGAAACAATTTGCAACACAATGAAACTAACACACCACAATGGAAACATGCGTGTTGTGCTAATAAAATTAGCACAACACAATGGAAACGAGCCGCAAAACAACGGAAACAAGCTGCAACACAACAAAATTAACAAAACACAATGGAAATAAGCTGCAACACAACGAAATTAGCACAACACAATGGAAATGAGCTGCAACACAACAAAATTAGCACAACACAATGGAAACGAGCCACAACACAACAAAATTAGCACAACACAATGGAAACCAGAGGTCACATGACAGTTAAAACATGGTAGATGTAGTACATCAGAATTTCATTCATACTACACACATTCATCCTATATAAAACATATTTTTAACAGTCACAAAGCAAGTTTCAAAACAAATATAGGAACCAGGTTTTTTTTGGAGGGGGAGGGGGTATTGGGTTGTAACTGTCTTTTTTATTTAAAGGATTTAAATAATTAAAGGATTTCAACTGATTCAAGGGAATAAAGAAGAACAGTGAAAGAACATTAAATTTTTTTCTAATCAATTGTAATTATTTGCACTATTTTGCAAACATTTACTCTTATTCATATGCCTGAAACCCGCCCCCCGGTTACTGTTGCTATGTCCGACAAGCCATGCTCTCACGCCACACATCATGTTCTCATGCAGTGAAAAATACATCACGGAGCAAAGAGAAAACTGACAACACGCCAACAAACAAGACAAAGCAGGTTACTTCTGGTATGAAACAAAGTCTCAGCTTTCAAATTTTCTTTAAGAAATTCAAACAATAAATACCATTTTGTGGCTCTTTAATGTGTTGTGACAGATAGCTCCTCAGTTCAAGTGGCACGTGAACCCAGGGGCGCCTTAAGTGGGGGGGAAGGTTAGGACGATTCCAAGGGCCCGACGAGTGAGGGGGGCCCAGAAACCATAGCAGCGCCCCTGCGTGAATTGATCATCTTTTCATATTTATTTGTTAAAGCATGAAATAAACATGAATGAACATCAGAAGGTATTTTATTTCAACTGTGGAAAAACGTCAGTTCACACCATTTTTCAAGTTCAAGTCCACTGAAGTTAATCTAGGGGAGCATGGGGCACAAAGTAACGCGGGGTTAGTTGTAACCAGTGTTGGGCAAGTTACTTCCAAAATGTAATACATTATATATTACTAGTTACTGTCTTTTGAAAGTAATTAGTTACATTACAATATTACTGTCTCTGAATTGTAATGCGTTACACTACTTTTGAGTTACTTTTGAGTTACTTTCACCAAAATATCCACAGACTTATGACTAGGCATTCTAAAATGCTAAAATGTAGTTTATTGCTGCTCATTAAACATCCAGTAGTTCATAATGTGCTAGGTATATATCTAAGTTAGATTCACTATTGTATGCTGTTGCCGTATGGCAACATATCATAAAGTACCTTAAAATAATATTTTTTTCAAAAAAATTTTTTACAGCACTTCAAGTTAAGCCATTCTTAGAAAAGAAAAAGAGTCAAATATTTTTTTCTATAGGTCTATCATAATGCGTGTCTTGGTCTTACAACTCTTACATAAAACTGGGGCAATAGCACTTTCCCCTTAATTCTGTAATAACAAACATGAAACCTATTGCTTGTAATCTAACTTCCCTGAGTTTTGGCTCCTTTAGTATGATAATAAACATCTTTATATGAAGTAAATCATTCCATATGCTCAGCTCTTCTGATCTCAGCATGGCAATGAGAGCGCATCAGGCCAAACCCAAGTCAAATAAGCTAGGAAACGCTGTGTTAGAATTAGAATGTGATAAAAATGTACCTGAAAAAAAAAAGAATCATGATAAAATCTACATGCATACAAAACACATTTCCAGTACCACCTTCCACCTTTTAAACGTTGTACAGGTAAAAGCATTGTTTTTATTGAATAGGCTGTACAGAGAGAGCTGGCCCATAACCCACCTGCTGTTTTTGCAGTCAATTACAATCAGTGTATCTCTACACTTTCCTGTCCTGGGAAAGTAGCCACTGGTGGAACATTCTCTGCTATTTGTGTAGGTCAGAAGGAATGACTCTGGGGACTCGCTGTGTTCCAGTTTCGTTACGCATGCTAAAACTATGTTCAGAAAGGGAAATGTTCTACTACAAGGAGGAAAGAAATACATATCCTCTGTACCCTTGAACACAGTCCACTGTAACAGTAGTTTAACTCTCTTGTTGTCTTCATTCTACGAGGTGAAGGGCTACAAAGACATGGGCATGCAAGAACTATTTTGAATATTTTAATGAAGATAAATCACATGATCAGTTCACCAAGATGTTAACTCTCATTTTTAGAGAAGAATGTTTCAGAGAGAAGCTTTTAAAAAAATAGACAGTACAGTATACAGTTAAATATCCCAACCTTGTTTATTAATCTCCAGAGATTAACAATGGCCAGAAACATATGAACAACAAATCATGAAGTAACAGACTCTACATAATTTAATGCTGTGAGAAAATACTTTCGTTGTTGCTCCTTAAGGAGTGCTTTATCCTTTTGATTACTAGCCAAAATCTTACGAAATGTGAATAATTAAACCATTATTAACACTTTGTCAGGTTTTGAGAAATGTTAACAAATATGTAAGGGTTCCAAAAGATGGAAGACTATGCTAGCAGGCAAACTGACGGGAAAGTGGTTAATTTAGGGATTTCTTGGATGTTTTTATAGATGTGACATATGTGACTGTTCAGAACATAATCATATTATTCGTTAGAAGGCGTGGCCTAATCATCTCACACCTTGTATTATGTGATATCTTTCATAGCATACACACCTTACTGTGAACGTTAAATCTCTGGCCTAGATTTTTTAAAACTGTTAGTCAAACATTTTGACTAAGCCTATGTTAAAACAGCAGGGATCAACAAACCACAACTCAGCTGAAGGCAAATAAAAACAACTTTATTCAAAGCACCATAAAGACTGATAATAAATGCATTTTAAAATGATCAGCACGCATTTGCTTTGGTGTCAAAAATAAGAGATTTTCAGTAGAGAAATAACATTTCACTTTGGCTTTTTGCTCATTGAACTGAGCCTGGCATCTTCAAATCCAGATTGGATAACTTCATGCCTCCTTCACATATGTCCTCACAGCCACCACATCACCCATTATGCATTTCTGAAAAGAGAAATATGGTTATAAAATTAACGGAGAAAGCACTCAAATAATGGGAAAACAAACTATTCTGTACATTTAACCAGAATTTATAACACAGAAAAATAGTTGTTAACCATCATTACTTTGCATTATTCTAAATTATTCCCATTTATATTGGACTACCCGATCAGCTTTAAAATTATTACATTTGAAAAATGTGTTTCAAATTAAAAGTAAGTCAGATTCACATTCAGTTAAACATGCGTTTCCACTTTTTTGTTTATTTATTTATTTTGTATTTGCTGCACCAATGTATTTCCATTAGATATTGCACTCACAAAGAGCACATTCTAGCAGAAGAAATATTTTAGAATTGAGAAAAAAGTAAAAAAAAAAAAAAAAAAAAAGTATCTTCCAATATACTGGCTTCCATTACCTTTCTGACCCCAGATATCACCATTTAAAAGTTTACTAATATTTTCATTTTTCTCTGAATAACAATATATGGAAATATGATAACCAAAGCTAATAATTATTATTATTCGTTATGTCAAATATAATACTATATATATATACTATTATTGAATAATAATGTTGAATTTTATTAAATGTTTTATAAAAGTGCAAACTGTAATTTCTATAGAATTATTTTCAGATTTTAAATTCCTGTGAATTTTGTCAATATACACATAGTTCAACAACAATTTTAAAACTGCATTAGCAATTATCTTATCTTATTATCTTTCATCATGTAATGCCATTTGTGTCATTACCAATATTATTATAACGTGTTTTTCATAAATAAAAGAGTATCCTTACAGCAACTAATTTCCCATCCGTCACCTCCCTCTCTATCGTCGACTCTTTGCCATCCCAGGTCTGTTTCTGCACAAGTTTGCCGTTGTCAAGAGTCACAACAGACTGCGGATAGAGAGAAGAGCCTGTTAATTTCATACGATAAACATCTTCACACCAATGCAAATATTCCGCCTATTCCATTACAAACCGTAGTCTTTCTATCATCCGCGGTGATCTCCTCGAATGACTCATTGAGTTTAAATTTGATCTCAGTAGTTTTGAAGGTGCTCTGCGACTTCATGCATATGAGCCCCTGATCATCCACACACAAGACCAAGTTGGGCTTGGTCCGGTTTCCCACCTGACGAGTAGCGAAACCCACACCTGAAAAAGGAAATGCACTTCTTTCATTCACGAAACAGCTTTATATTAATGACAATCAACAGTATGATATTCAATGCATATGTTAAAACTAGAAAAAAAAATGGTTTAACTTTTCTTTTGCATTTAGCAAACTGGAAATATTTGCAAGTTACTAAATAATGAATCATGCCTAGAGCCTTCATGTACTCGTCAAAGTTTTCGCTGGTGGTCATCTTCCATGTTCCCACGAATTTGTCAACCATTTTTCCAGATGATGATGATGATGATGTTCCCTGTCACTCAAGCAACAGCTCAAAGCTCAGATGTATTCTGATCTGATCGAATGACTGCAGGCTTTTTCAACAGCTCCTCCAGCACGTGCGTGTTGACACTAGCCAATCAGATGATCCAGCGTCACTGTGCGGAGTTCCTCAAACTCCAGCCTGCAAACGCAACTCGGAACTCGGGAAGGGTTCGCGTTTTTCGGACCACAAAAACGGTCAAATAACATTTACTGGGTCAGAGGACAGCAATCACAAAGGTTATGCACATGGATAGACTTAATATTTTTATAATGACGTGTTTGACACTATGAGACCCGACTAAAGGGATGACCTTTCCTCACAGTGGCTGACTGCACACACAAGATGTATATTTTTACTTTAATAACTACGTAATAACGTGCTTATAATCACTAATATAGACAAAACAACTCTGAACCTTCGAGATTTTGTAGGCAATATGTTAACATATGCTAATTCACAGACATATTTTCATTTGGATATAGAACACGAAAACCAATCTCCAATCTGAGCATTATAGTGTCCTGCTTCAAACACTGCATATTTCGTTACATTTAGAATGAAATACTAACATGCTATTTACTGGATCCTGTCTAGTATACACTGTATACTATTCTTTAAAAGAACTAATATGTGTTGAATAACATAGCTATACCTCTCAGAAATTCTTGCACTGAGTGTCATGCATTAATTACATGAATGTGATGTAAAAAATAAACTTTTCCACATATGTCATAGTGGGATAATGCATAAGTAGAGACTTTCCTGTGTCTGAATATAGAGGCCTGTTAATTTACTTCAAAAGCCCAACCAAAACTGTAGAGGACAAAGTGAGAGTCAACTCAAAGACATGACAGATAACAATTTTATTACACATCCACAGACATATAAATACAAAAGAATTAGACTACTTTTTGTCTCCTGCTTTAGCTTGAGGGTCTTTAGCACTGCATCGGGTCTGTAAGGCTGAGAGCAATTCTTGTGTGGTTAGTCTAGATCCCTTCATCAGCAGCCTCTCTCCATCCACTGCAAAAGACCACAATGACATGCATTATACAATGACACTATGCCATACGCTCCTGGAGTTACAGTTCAGTCACTCACAAAATGTGATGTCAATCGTAGGCTCTGTTCGGTCATGCTTTACTTCTGGGATAACTTCACAGTTCATATTTGTGGCTCTGGCTTTTTCAGACCCGACCACAATGAGAAACTCTCTGCAGGAAGGAAGCAGACAAAAGAAATGCAAGAGATGTGATGGATTTGCGCTTTTAATTATACCATCATTGATACGAAGTGGGCAGTTTGTCATCGAAAACAGATTAAAGAGCCATTTAAGATAGCGTTCCCCAAACTTTTAAAATAATTTAATGACAGATGATTTTACTGACATAATTGCACACTAAATCACCATTCGGATCCAGAAAAGTACATTTGGAATTGCTATGGAGCCTGCTTCAGATATTATGAATGTTTAGAATTGCCTACTAGCTTGCTATTTACAAAAAAAAAAAAGTACAGTATAAAATGCTATATCTTTTTCATAGTGTAGCAAGTAAAACATTTTCCATGATAAGCATATCAAACATTAGTATGCTACGTGACTTCAACACGGTATATGCGAATGGCATATATCATTATCATTACAATTTGCCAACTGTGCACAGCATATTCTGCAAGAATAGTACGAAAATACTAGTCCGATCATGCTAGTTGTACTAGTGCAAAACAGTTTGACAGCCTGCTGCAATTACCGTGTTTAGACTGAGAGCGGCGCCAGAGATTTCACAGTAGAAAATACTAAGTAGTGAGAGCTAAGGTAAGCATCACGATCTATGCCATTTATTCGCATTGTCATAAGCACGTTCACAGAACGTTTAACAATCAATCTGCGTATAACGTTAGTGCATTGTGGTCCTCCGATGTTAAATGTCGAGTGTGGAGAACAGTCCAGCAGTGGCGAGTGCTGCTGTGAACGCTGAAAACAAATGTCTATGAACTGAGAAACACATTCAAAACACATCTAAATAAGTATAATTAGCATCATATACTCCGTTCCTTTGACCGCTATTACAGGAGGACAGCGCGGCTGCTGAAGTCATGCTCATGCACAAGATTTACTTTACTAGACAGACCTCTTCAACACTTAAAGTAAATTGAGGTATGTACAGTATTCCTACCTTGTGGAGCGGACATTAGATTCAAATGGGCAAAACTGTACAGTAATTTTCTTAACAGTCTTTAACACTACCGCTCCCCTGGATGCCGCCATCTTTTCCTACATGACCTTTAACCTGCTGATGACGTATGCAGCCGGGCTGTCTACGTAAAATATGAAAGCGTTAAAAGAAGTGCGATATTAAAATAAATAAAATGTGCAATTAAAAACTATGGAAACATTGACGAAACGAAAGCATTGTTTTAAAGGGGAATATGTTTTCACCGAAGCAACTGATATTATAAAAATATTTCATATTATTTTCATCGAAGCAATTGTTTTTTCCCCAAGCAGAACATACAAACAATTTTAAGCTCAAAAATATGAGCCCATGCTTTCATTTATTTGTTTATTTATTTATTTAATTTATTTATTCATTCGTTCATTCTCATGTCAATATTTATAAAAAATTATTCATTGATAAAATATAATTTAAAATATAATTTTAATTAAGTATCTGTACTTTTCTTTTAAAAGCAGCTGTGCCTGTTACATAAAATGCTTTAAATTGATTTAATTAAATTATCTGAATCTCTGGGATTCATTGTCATTAGTGTACTGAAATAAAAACAGTTGCAAATGAATATCGCAAAAAATAGGGGGGAAAAAGTTCATTAAAAAACTATTCAACTTTATGAGTATTTTACACGTTATGTGTATTTTTTTTAGAGATCTGCGTGCAAAACATATTATTGACAAATCATGAAACACATCCAGTAGATGGCGTAAGTGGATAGTGTATTATTTAGAAAGCCACTGCAAGGTTACCTTCCACATCATTTTCTGTTGAGTTCATTCAGTTTATTGCCATAGATATATCTTGCTATATCTTCCTTCACACACCCATGCATAATCTGTGGACAGTCATCAATGTTAATTTGTTCAAATGCACTTTCAAGAAGAAATCATGTAAATCATGTCATTATATAAAAAATCAGACAAACTGCCCATATTATCAAGATGATTTCCATAACTTATATATTTATACTACAGCCTTTGGCAACTGTGTCATTGATAATTGCCTTTTAAAAACATTCTACTATTGTGAAATTTTGTACACTCCCTTAATTTGAGATGTTGTAAGAACAGAAACATGAAAGAGTTGAAATCGAATGCCCTGCCTATCCTGAAATTATTTATTTAAGGAGTTTGAATCCTCAATCTGACAAGCACAACAAAATACTTGTAGCTATTTCTGACACAGATGGGTAGTTAAAGTTATATCACGTTGAAGAACATCTGAGCTGAGCTAAATTTCAGAAGTATAGACATAAGCTGTATAAGCCCTCAAAATTGAAGTTATGAATATTATTAATATGCTCATATATGACTAGTGTTCTCTGATCAGTTTTAACAGTTAAATGAACAGTATTTCAACCAGCACACGTATAAAACAAATTTAACAGAGATCATTTTGATACATATATTAATTATTTTATTTACAGACCTACATAACTCTGCTAGACCAATATAAATGATGTACATTATCATGAACAATATCAATATTTGTGCCTCTGCCTTAGGGCTATTTATTATTGTGACACTTCTACAGCTAAATAAATGTGCACGCTAGTGAGAAATGTGCGTGTATCATCAGGACTGAGTCAGCGTGCAGTTTTTCACATAACAAATCAATGTTACTCTTATGAGCAACTAACAAGTCGACTGTTTCTGATGGTGCCAAAAATGTTTTGTCACTCACATATGCACTAGTGTTTTACTAAGGCCAGCTCTCATGCTTCTGATGACCAAAGGTTTTTTTCCTGAACAATTAAGCGCACAGTTGTGGTCGCACATTAGAACCATATTTAGACATGAGCTTGAAGGGTGAACTTCCTATCAAGCCCTTTCTAAAAACAAGTTTCTCTTTCCTTACTGAAACAATGACAATGAATACTCCTGCCACCATTTCATCCAAAATAAAGAAAGCTACAAGCACTGAAGCACAAACAATAAGGCAGAACGCTCAAGGGAGGGGTCAGCATTTTATAATGCATGTTAAACGTTATTTTGGTATTGCTGTCATTGCTTCTTGTTCGAAGTATAAATTTGGATGCTCCCCAGGAAGTCAGACACTAAGCATTGGGTACTGTGTTTAGAAATCAGGCACTGAATAAAGAATGTATCATTATCATTACTATTATTGTTGTTATTATTATGCTATAATCCTATACTATCCTGCAATTCTATACATATTCATTTTGAATTGTTCAAATATATTGTTTATTTAGCATATAAAACACAATATGCAACAAACTACAATTTTAAGTTACAATATTAAGTTAGCTAAAACTAAAGATAATGTTCAGGTAAATGTTTCTCTGTCCTTCTCACATTAACATATTTTAAGTCAAGATAAAATGTAATGTACAAATAAATGACTTTGTAGACTATATATCAATAAAGATTACTTGAATGGCCTTTCAGTGTAAGCATCATAATTAAGTATGAAAATACATTAATATGGAACTAAGCATTATTAAAGGCTTAGCTTAAAGAAATAGTTCACCCAAAAATCAAATTTTCGCACCCTCAGGTCGTCCTAAGAAACATTACATCATTTGCTCACCAATGGATCCTCTGCAGTGAATGGGTGCCGTCAGAACGAGAGTCCAAACAGCTGATAAAAACATCACAATAATCCACAAGTAATCCACACCACTCCAGTCCATCGATTAACATCTGTTTAAGAAACAAATCTATCAAGATGTTTTTAACTGTTTCTTCTGACCAAAATATGAACCCTCTATAATGTTACATCTGAATCAGGAGAAAAATGTTATTATATATTATTATGTGTGTTATTATGGATTATGAACTCATATTT